ACTATATATTACATATTACATATTACATATTACATATTACATATTATATATTATATATTGTATGAGTAGTCGTTAGCCTAGATGTGTCCACATACTAGCCCAGGAAAATATGAAAGTACATAAAAGAACAGCTTGCCATCAAGACCTGTTTGCATACTGATTTTGACAAAATTATCAATAGCGCCATGAAGCCGGTGACAGACTGAAAATAATAAAACCAAAAATAGACAAAACGCACACACACACCCGCACGCACGTGGTGACTCCGGGTTCTCCAACGGCCCTTCCCTCCATTCACCCAGCACATCCTGTGTGCCCTTCCCAGCAAGACAAACAACACCGAACTTGCCATGCGAGTGTGCTCACCTCTTTGGCACAGTATTCCCACTCTGTTCTCTACTGGAGTTATGTTTTAGGTACTTAAAAAAATTTGGTGAGGACGCAGAGGGGTTAAGACGAGATGGAGGAGCAGGAGCTGAAGACTGACCTGAGCAACTTTCAGCCTCGCCCACTGGTGGATGATGCACACTAAATAGCAATTAGAGACAAAGTATGAGGGGTTAGAGCACAGCGAGGAGGGCAGCTGCAGGCCAGCGAGCGGAACGGGAGAGAACAGCAAGGCTGGTTCTCCATATTTACTACCAGCAGCACGGCTGGGGCAGCACCGTCGCTCTCTTCGGCACGCCAGCTCTCTCCTGGCCAAGGGACCATCAGTTAAAAAAAATTACAAAAGACCATCCCGGAGCATTTCCCACGTCTCCCTGCCCCACCAAACTTCTTCTATGTCCTTTTTAGGAACTGACGGGAAAACCTGTTTTTTTAAGTCAAATAAAAGCAAAGGAAAACAAAACAAAAGCCAGAGTTTTAAAAATATCTCTCTCTTCAAAATGAACAATGACCTGCCTTGAATATCAGTGTCTCATTTCCTGTACGCAAAGAGAAGAAAGTTCACAAAGAGGGAGAGAAAAACAAAATAGGTGTGCTGAGGAGGGAGGGCGGGACACAGGGAGAGACGTTTCTCTGGCTTTCATCACCTCTGTCCAAGGCAATCTTAGGAGAGAAGAGAAGGGGAGTGTTAGGGCAGCGATTTCCCTCAACTTTGGCAAGAGAGCCCTTGGCAGGCTCAGCAAGAAAGCTAGGAATCTCCAGACAGTCCTGTTTCCACGATCACTGAAAATGCCAGAAACAGAGGGGCCCGACACAGTGGAGAGGTAGAACAGAAGCGTGCCTTTCAATAGAGATCACAAGAACCTGAGGCTTCCAAGGAGGTTTGTCTCTGAAATGTCTGATCTATTCTAACAGCTTCTGAACTATGCCCTACCTTGGAGATCAGCACTCCAGCCAAATGCCAGCGAACCATCAGTCACCATTTTCAAGGAATAACAGAAAATAAAGCTCGGGGGTTCCCCTACATCACTGGAGGGTGTCAACCATGTCACCACTGGACCTTCCATTATCCATTTTACTGACACTTGAGCTCTGTGGCCTCTGTCATCAGTCAGAAGAAGGCAGCGACACAGGTGTGGCCCTAAGTCCTATGTATAAAGTGAAGGGTCTTAGCTATTTTCATTTTTAAAGATAGCTGTGTCCATTGATGGCCTCCAACAACCGCCCAGGGACCCCCAGGAGGAGAGAGCGACATTGTTCACTCACCTCCATAACCAGTGAATTCTAACTGCACAATGAAGCCCAAATATTTTAATTAGTGATCTTGTCAGGAGAATGAATCTAAAATTCTCCCATTGAACGAAATTAGTAGAAAATACCCATTTCAAGTTTGTCAGACAAACTTTGTCATGAGCAAATGGGCCGAGGTGGCCACCAGCTCAGGTCAGCGCTAGGAGACCTGAAGCCAGCACTGGCCCCCTGGATCTGGCACACCCCTCCCACTGCTCCACACAACTTTTCCTTCCCGGTGAAGGAATATTCCAGATCTTCAGCTGAGCAGACTCACTCCCTCCCTACCTGAATACTTTTTCTCAAAGTCAACAATTACGTTCCACAATCGATGCTGTCTCACATACTGTTTGAGGAGTGATTATTATACTTGAAGGACCCAGTCATGCCTGCTTCCTCCCAAGACTGGTACTTGTATGTTGAACAAGCAGATCTAACATATCCCCCAAGGATGTTGGTTGGGTGGGGAAGAACCTGTCACTGCTTCAGGTTTCCTCCTTTAAAGTCAGGTGTCCAACCCAGGTTCTTCTTCCACCCAACAAACACACCTGGGGCAGCACATACCTGGTTAGTAACTGATGAGCCCCAGTTAGTTATACAGTAAATTTACATTTTAAACAATTCTTACTTTCGTTCATGAGGCGTCTCTGTGCTCACTGAGTGATACCTCATAAGTTTCCTCTGTGAGACCCCAGGGGGGCTCTCGGCTGGCACCAGGGGCTCCTGGCCTTCCACGGGGAAGTGGCTGAGGGTGTTGGCGCGCCTCCTGAAGCCCAGTGGGGGTGAAAGCAGGGCTGACTCCTCAGCAGGGTGGCTCTCTGAGTCGCTGGACAGGTCGTCCGAGGAGCCCAGGAGTCTGAAGGCGCTGTCAGAGACAGGCAGGGCCTCCTTCTCACACACACCGTGCTCCTGGCAGCAAGCAGACAGCAGATCAGACATGTCGGGAGGCACCAGCGACTTCGCAAATCTCTAATGTCAGGGTAGGGCAGCATTTCAATGTATAAACCCATCTTTTGATAATGCCAGAGAGAGGCCACCGAAAATATAAGGAAATGGAAGCCACTGGGAAAGAAGGATTGCTTGTCAGAGACAAAATGCTAGCTCACCAGAGAGACAGGAGTCTGCCCGAATGCAAGCTGAAGGCCAGTAACACTACTGTCCCATCCAAGTACTAACCAGGCCCGACCCTGCTTTAGCTTCCGAGATCAGAGGAGATCGGGTGTGTTCGGGGTGGTATGGCCGTAGACAGTAACACTATTTTAAGCAGAGCTGTAAATCACTCCCTTTCTCTGAAAACAGAACTCATCTCTCCTGCCTGCAAGTACCATGCAGCTCGCACACCTGACCTAGAGCACTCTTTAAACCACTCAAAGAGTTTCTTCCATGTGTTACTGTCTACACAAGTTATGTACACAAGGCTTTCAGAGTTTCATGTAACGTGGAGACTTAACTCGGAAAGCTTGGGGTTGAACATCCTATCGTAGATTATTCTTAGCATATGGCAAACCTCTGTTTAGGCGCTTTTTGGTGGTTAAAACACTGAAGTAACCAAACCTAAAAATTCTTAAGTGTCTTGCAAGCACAAAGTTAAAAAAATTACCTAAACACTGGCTTGTTACCAAAGAGAACCACTGATTTGCTCATTATTACACAGTCCTGCTTGGTGGTAGACAAAGGAGTGAACTTCTTCAATGCTTATTTGTAAAAATTCTAAAGTTTAATTATAACCATGACGCCTATTAGCAGATAAAGTTTCTGGAGTTTAAGAGGCAGGCTTCTTGGAATTCACCAATCCCAATGTTGGAGGTTTTCCAAGTTTAATTACTTTTAATATTGGAAAATCTACTTGGAAAAGAAAACCATTGGACTCCATGTGAGACATTAGATCCGGGTGGTCTAAAGTGGTTTCTTTACCAGACTTCCAGCAGGGAGTCTGGAAACGCTGAGCTCAGGCCCTGCATGTGGGAGGGGAGCAAAACCCACCTGCTTGTTTCTGAGGGTGTCCTAGGAAGAAAACTGCTTACCTTGCTAGTGTTACTCAATGAACTGCATGTGGCATTGTCCAGGTCCATGCTGGTGGAGTGTTCCTGCAGGCCTCTGGCCTTATGACCCTAGGTAAAGACAAGACAGTGCAGTTATGACCTTGGAGGGGTCTGCAAAGGCATCAGTTAGAAGCAGCCTCGCCTATGCACATAAGCTCGGGAAAAATGCATCAACTAAGAAGCGCTGCTGAGTATGTGAGCACCAGAGGCAAAAACCGATCTTGTCATGTCTCTTCTAATAATGCACCAACCTACATGGTTCAAAAACACCACGTGGATTAAGTTATGAGGCAGGGAGCATGGGCAGGAGGGAGAGACAATTCGTGTCCCCAGAAAAGTATGTGCTAGAGAGGGCAACTTCTAAGTCACAGCGGGCAGAACCTGCCAGATCTGCGACATCTGCCAATATTCTGTGTGTTTGGGGAGCTTGTGAAGGCGGCCACCCCCAACCCTGGTTGTAAAGAGTCTGTCTGAACTATCCCGAAGGGTGCTGCCAAACTCCCAGAAAGATCTTTAAACAAAATTTCACTTACCCGGGACAAAATACTTTCCAAAGATTCAGTTAAAGATCGCTTCGCTTTGTTTTTCAGCATGTCTAACCTAAATCGGGTGGCACTAGATGGTAGTTCACTTCCAATATTCTCCGCTGCAATCTGTGGTGTCTAAAAAATAAAACAAAGAGAAGTCAAGTTTCCTTATGTCCTTATTAAAAAGGAAGAAAAATCTGTAAAATGGACCTTTATGATTCCAAGTTACTGTTCTGAATCTGGGGTCACTTCATCTCATCTGCTCCCCTGTCACATGACTACAAATCTGCCTCAAAAAGTTGCTTTGCCTACTCCAAACAAAGTAAGGCAATGTCCTTGGAAACAAACCTGTGACCAAGAGTTTCCCGCTCAGCTCAGCCTCTGCAACAGAGCAATCGCAAACTGTGAGGTTCGTCGGTCACAGACTGTGACCTCCTGCAAATCACTTTCTCTGAGTCACAATTTCCTCTTCCATAAGCCGACACCAAGCCCACTGTCTGATCTAATGCAGGGCGGTGAGACTAACACATGAGCAGCACTGAACATGCCTTCTGGTAAAAGGTAGCTATGACTGGCTTCGCAAGGTAAACCAGACTCTTACCTTTGGGGGATTTCGGAGCGTGAGGCTTAAAGTGCGCATGCATTAAAGCATCAATTCCTGCCCGCCCAAAGCCTTCGTACCTTTCTGTAAAAGCGTTTTCTCTACTTTGCCCTTTCTTCCTTTTACTATTATTCCCAGTACCCCTTTCATGCCCTTCTGTACCCACACTTCTCTCCCTTAACTGAAACTAGCAAACAGAATGGAGTTTGCCTGCCCTCCAGTAAATGAAGATATTGTTACTTATTAACAAAGAGGTGTATTTAAGACAAAAAAGCTATGAAAATCCTCTAAATTAAAAGGGATTTCTGAATTATTTGAATTCTTACCTGATTGCTTTCTGCCAGAGAACAACTTTTATTAGAAAAACACAGAGACCAGCATATCTTCCATCACTCCGACCACGGCCTGTCCTTTACTGTTGTTACATATTTCATGCACAGACTAAGACGACAAATGCCCTCACGCCAACCACAGCTCTGGCCAAGTTCAAGTCCTGCCGGGTGTGGAGAACTCGCGAGGCGCTCGGCCCCCGGTTGTGCAAAGGCCCAGGCCCAGGCAAAAAGCCTCTTGGCTGCCCCGAGTATGTGTGTGCGGTGCTGCACAGGTTATCACCTGCTCCTTTGCAGCCAGCACAGCGAGACGCCGAGCCAGCTTTTCTCCTAGAGCGGTTCCAAGGTCTCAATGACTCACCATGTTAAAGTGCTCAGGGTGCCCCTGACAGTAAGTGTTCGGTATCAGGATTCTCAGCCACTCTATTTGCTTTCTGCTTTTAACAGGATGCTGCAGGCATGGTTCCAGCCTCTTGAACCCGCCCTCCTCTGCAGCTGGAGTTCTGTAGTAACCTTGCTCCAGAATTTGGTGTTTATCAACTCGTATTTTATACACATACATGTGCGTGAGTCTAGAAAGCCTGTGTTCACTACATTTGATTGCTCTGTGAAGTGGCTGCTACTGAGAAGCCCATTCCTCCGAGCCCATGAGGGTGTCCCGCCTGGGTGGCCCCCAGATCAGGGCAGGCATGAGACTCCCACGTTACGGGACATTGAGAACCTCGTGATGCTGAGCCCAGATGCCAGGACTGCTTTGGAGGTGTGGGCTCTTCTACATTATATTTACTCACTGACACTTGCATATTAAAAAAAAAAAAACAAAAACATTAAATAGATTTCCCCACTGGGCTGATCTGTGGCCAAATTATAAAGTCACTATCCTGAATACACACAAATGAGTTTGCATTCAGGTCAAAAATTTCTATCCACCAAAAATGTTTGGTTCCCCTTTTCTAGCAGTTAGCAATTACTTCAAAATTATTAATTTCCTATTGGAACACATGAGACTTACTCAGAACAAAGACAATCAAAACAGAGAAAAAGCATTTAATGGCACAAAGGTGGGGAAGGCACGGAAATGCGAGAATGAGTTGAAAGTGGTTATAAACGTGAGTTAAAGAATCAGCTGTGTGGCTCATTCAAAAATGACCAGGCCAACACAGAACCCGCACCCTGTCTTAATGCTACAAGCTGGACGGGAGGAAGCCACAGTAAAAACACAGACAACATGTGTGTGTCAAGGCCCTTGCTAAGGACCCTGGAGATGACCAATTAGCTTACAAACAATCATTGGGAAAGCGGAAACCTATGGAGAGTTACTATGCATGCCTCCATGTAGAACTGCACCCTGGCGAGGTCACCAGAACAGCAGCAGTTTGCAGGAAGAGACCAAGGCAGAAGCATTAAAGCATCTTTAGAATAAACATTCAATGCCCTCCCTGGTCGCGCGACTGCTTAGAACACAGCACTGCAGAGCTGGTCACAGCAACTGCAGCCAGAATTCGATCCCCCACTCCGGAGGTGACCCCCATGGCCCCGCAGACCTCTCCTGACCTGCCCACTGCTCCCCTCAGCAGTGTACTTCAGTCCATCTGCTTGTTCTTGCTCCCCACTCTGTCTCTGGTGAAGCCTCTCACACCCCACCCCCACACCTCTGGCCTGTACCCCAGCTCCTGTATGCATAAAATAAATATTTTTTTTTTAAAGATTTATTTATTTATTCGTACAGAACTGGGGTACAAGCCAGAGATGCGGAGGGTGAGAGGATTCACCAGAGACAGAGCGGGGAGCAGAACAGGCAGATGGATGAAGTACACTGCTGAGGGGAGCAGCGGGCGGGTCAGGAGAGGTCTGCCTCGCCATGTGGTCGCCTCCGGGGCAGGCGGGGATCGAACTCTTGCGGAAGTGGCTTTAGTTTCTTAGTGCAGTGCTTTAACCCGCTGCGCCACCAGGGAGGGCCTAAAATAAATATTTTTTAAAAAATAAAATAAGCAGCGTGTGCGTGTGTGTGTTTACATGTGTGTGTTTATGTGTTCTAACTCAAACATGCCTTTGGAAATCCTGAAAATTTTAAATGTCTTACTTCTTTTTCTCCACTTTTTCTGGTTTACAAGAAACCAGAACTGTAAGAAACCCCTAACTTAAGCAGATGGAAACAGCACATGTTTTGAAGTTACAATGCATATTATGAATTGACATAAAAGATGTGGGGAAATGGTGTGGCCACTGCGTGTAATGAATCCCGAACTCAGAGCTTTTCAAGGACAGAGACCTGCACGGAGCCCAAGCTTCTAAACTGAACACCCCACACATGAAGAAGCCACACAGCCCTCGGGGACCGGGGAGGACAGTGGCTCTGCTCCTCCATCACGGGACCAACAGACATGCTACGTGCACTGGCACCTCACTGGCTTCCCCCACGCCGCACCTGCAGCCTCTGCCCCGCCCCTGGTGCGCACCAGCCTTTACATCACAGAGCTTGCAGGCACATGAGGGTCAGAAGGCGGCTCTATGATGTCATCCCATTGGACCACAGAGCAAAGTAAGGTGACAGAGCCTGGCCCCCCCAGGTCAGGGGTTTGCAGAGTCAGCACCTATCTCTCCGACATGCCTGGGGTTCCTCACCTGTCCCTGCTCAGAGAAACTGCTCTCTCCCTACAGTGAGAAGCTCCCCTCCGCTGCCCCAGGCACAATCTAAATAGTCCCAAATCTCTCTGATGTGCCTAACAAATGAAAATAAAATACAGGGAGGAAAAGATGTTTCAGAGCTTCAGAAAATTCAAGACTGTTTTTACAGTGTCCTT